CTCAGTCGTCCACCCACGCGCAAAACCTTGTCCTGATCGAGAAACGGTCGAAGAGACAAGATCGAGCTTCTTGAATTGAGGGAGTGATTGTTCGCCAAGGCATTTATTTCCGTGGCAAACAATGCCGCTTGGATTTGCTTGATCCAGAAGGTCTTGGCTGCGTTGCAGTCAGAGGCCGACAGTACGACACCTTTGACGATCGGATATCGCTTCGGCATCGGCGTAGACGATGAGCAGTTAACATTCCGACGGGAACAAACGGATCGGCATAGACGGGTGAACTTAAGGAGGTACGCGGTAACGCGAATTAATCTTGGCCAAGAGGAATATCTCGAGGCCAGATCCCACGGATCACGCCGTTGAGAACATTGCAGAGAAGCAATTCGTTCTTCGAGAGGAGCAGTCGGTGCGATACACGGATCGGGACGCGGCCATTTATCGGGATCGAATTGCAACCAAGGAGGACCGCGCCACCAGAGCGCGTGATTTATAATCTCGTCACCGAATATTCCCCGCGAAGCGCAATCAGCGGGATTGTCTTCGGTTGACACATGTCGCCATTGACAGTTCGGAAGACGCGACTGAATTTCGTTGACGCGATTAGCCACAAACGTCTTCCATCGCGACGGATGCTGCGTCACCCAAGCGAGAACGATAGTGGAATCCGTCCAGCAAAAACACGGGAGGTCGTGATACCCGTTTGTTTCACGGACGAATTCAAGAAGGCGTGCGAGCAACAATGCGGCTGATAATTCTAAGCGAGGTATGCTGAGCGGTTTTAAAGGCGCGACCTTAGATTTTCCGGCGAGTAGTGTGACCGTAATTGCGCGCGATTCAGAGATAACTTTAATATAGACCGCTGCGGCATACGCGTTGTTCGACGCGTCAGCGAATCCGTGAAGCTCCGCGTGCCCGTTCTCCGAGCCGATCTCGCACCAGCGAGGTATCTTTACATGGCTGAGATACGCGAACCGAGAGTAGATTTCTGTCCAATGAGACAACAGTGCCTCGGAGATTTTATCGTCCCAGCCGACTTTGAGGCGCCAAAGCTGCTGCATGAATATTTTGGCAGTAATAGTTGCCGGGGTGACCCAGCCGAGTGGATCGTATAAAGTTGCAAGAGCGGACAAGATTGTACGCTTGCTTATCGGTACAGTAGCTGCTAATGAAACGCTAAACTCGAAACTGTCGAGCGCGGGACTCCACCCAATGCCGAGAATTTTGAGTTGCTCGTCCCGAGCTAATGGCTTTTTTCCCGCCAAACCGTGGTCCGCTAGATCAATGTCGGCCAGAAGAGCGGGCGAATTGCTCGCCCATTTTAGAAGTTTGAAGCCGCCCCTGGCCAATATCGAAATGACCTGGTCTCGTTTCTCCCTAGCAACATCCGGAGTATCGGCGCCGAATATCACATCATCGACATAAATATTATCGCGGAGAATAGGGATCGCGAGCGGAAAGTGTTGACCTTCGTCTTCGACGAGTTGTTTCAAAACCCGAAGTGCTAGAAACGGCGCACATGACATTCCGTAGGTAACCGTTAATAATTGATATTCGGTTGGAGAGTTCGACGGTAATGATGCCCACAGAATTCTTTGATAATTGACATCGCGATGATCGACGAGAATCTGGCGATACATTTTCGCGATATCGGCCGAATATACGTATTTGTATCGTCGCCATTGTAAAATAACAGACGTGATGTCCGTTTGTAACTTTGGACCCACGTGTAGAAAATCGTTCAACGAGGTGCCGTTCGAAGTAACACTCGAGGCGTTGAATACAACGCGGAGGCGTGTTGTTGTGCTATTTTCGCGGTACACCCCGTGATGCGGAATGTATACATGCGGTTCGCGCGGAGCTTCAGAGTTTATCGCCGGTCGCATGTGACCGAGACTTTCATATTCCGTCAGAAAGTCTCGATATTCCGTTTCTAGCGCCGGCTTAGTTTT